TAGAGACGGGGTTTCACCATGTTGACCAGGATGGTCTCGATCTCTTGACCTCGTGATCCACCCGCCTCGGCCTCCCAAAGTGCTGGGATTACAGGCTTGAGCCACCGCGCCCGGCTTCTCCTGTCCCTTTCTAATTTTTATACCTCTGTAATGCCCTCTCAAATTCCTTATCCTCTGTTTTCGTTGTGACTAGTTCTCTTGGCCGCTTACCTGGAAAGGCAGTGGAGAGGGTTGTAACTTTGGGAGTTAAATTATAACTAATCTAATAATGGTGTTTAACAAAACCCGTGTTAAAGGCAAAGTGCTTCTGTTAAATACTCTCAAACCCAGTTTTCTCTTGGCTCTCACACCACCACAGCAACAATCAACAGCACAGAAGAAGGTTTCTGTGACCAAATGTGTGGGGGATTTCCCCACATACCTAGCAGCAGAATTGGGTGTCCTAGAATTGGGTGTCCTCCAATTCTATTTTGACACCATCCACCTGGTGATAGCATCAGATTCTATTGGTTTGGGGTTCAGTCCCCAGAACTGCCCATTCCACAGATACCCATTGCAAATCTGGGCCTCTGGAACTTCCGATCAACTAGCTTCAAGTTGGGTTCCCATATCTTTTCTTTGTGTTCAGTTAATTTGCTACAGCACCTCACAAGACTCAGGAAAACACTTAAGTTTACTGGTTTGTTATAAGGGAGATTACAAAGGATACAGATAGAGAGATGCAGTGGGTGAGAATGGGGGAAGAGGCGCAGAGCTACTATGTGCTCCCTGGGCGTGCCACCCTCCAGGAACATCCATGTGTTCTGCTATCTGGAAGCTCCCTGAATCCAGTCCTCCTGGCTTTTTATGGAAGCCTCATGCTGTCAGCATTCCTCCCCCTAGCTTATAGGGCAGGACCATCTCTGGAGAGGATCTTAAGACCCGTAATCAGAAAGCTGGGGTAAGATTAAAGTCCTGCCTTGGGGGAAGGTGAGAGAAGGGCAGGAAAAGGTAAAAAAGATTCTGTTTTCTGAAGTCGGCTCCTGAGGTCTAACACACCCAACATTATAACAAAAGATTGTAACGAGAACTCTGGGAGATATGGTCCAGGAACCGTGAACAAAAATGTGTATTATGTGTGTATATATTTAAAATAACACCACAGCTTCCTAGCCAGCAAGAAGAGGAGGTCGACCTGACTGTAATGTCTTACTTCTCTTAACACAACTGATAAAAAAACATATTGATCAGATGGGGCATTTGCAATTGGAAAACAATAGCAAATGCTAAGGTCAGTGGGTCTGGTCAAGTTAGTTCAGAATGCCTCCCTGTTGTGAATATTTTGTTGGATTTAACTTCTCTAGAACCAAATGTAACCAGCCTAAATTTCTGGCAATCCCACGTCGTTCCTTCAGTGATCCAGGCTCAAAATGTATAAATGATCACTGACTCTTGTTGCCTGCAGTCCTCATTATCTACTTGATTGAGCCTTTTTGATGCTTACTCATGTTTTTTCTCTTTTTTTACTCTTCCCCGCTTCCAGCCAACCACAATTTCAGGTGCTTATTAAACACAACCAGATTAATCCTCCAGTTAGAACTTTTTCCCTCTTCCTAACCCTCCCAAGAGTCCTGCCTTACTATTAGGTAATGATATAAGACCCAAGAGCAAGTATAAGAATTCCCAGTGGCCTTTCCATCCTGGTATTTAAAACAGGAACCAACAGGCATGGTGGCTCACACCTGTAATCTCAACACTTTGGGAGGCCAAGGCTGGAGGACTGCTTGAGTCCAGGAATTCAAGACCAGCCTGGGCAACATAGGGAGACCCCTGTGTCTACAAGAAATAATAATAATAAAAACCAACTAGTCACTTGTAGTCTCAACTACTTAGGAGGCTGAGGTGGGAGGATCCTTTGCGCCTAGGAGGTCAAGGCTGCAGTGAGCCGTGATTGCACCACTGCACTCCAACCCAGGTGAAAGAGTAAGACCTGGTCTTAAAAATTAATTAATCAATTAATTAAACAAAACAGGCCTCACTTTCCTTAGGGAACCCTGGATCCTTTCCCTACCCTGGACACTGTGGGTTCAGTTGGGTGAGTTCCCTGCTTTCCCCTGAGCATGCTATGCTCACACTCGGCCCTCAGGGTTTGCATTCAGGCTCGCCAACTCACAGCCATACTGCAAAGTCCCATTTCCTCCTTGAGTCCTTTGCTGATATGCCCTGGTTTACACTGATTCCTTCCCTGGCTTTCTTTAGGCCCAGACATTTAGGCAAGGGTAGATGGGCCATGGAGCTAAGGAGGTTTACACCTGAGGGCCCCTTACTTGGACAGTCCCCTCCAAGACTGTGTACCTAATTTGTATTTATAATTATGGTTTTTTTTCTTAAGAAGATCATTTAAATTGTAAAAAGCCTCAGGCCCCACACAATCTGGATCTGTCCCTGAATTTAGACATTAATTTATATTATTTTCTTGAGGATTTCCTAACTGGTTAATGTGCAACAAACTGGTTTTCTCAACTTAATATGAGCTTCTTTGCTAAATAATGTTGTGCAGTGTATTGTGTGGTGGTTGAAAGGGTCATCAGTAGAGTCCCACAGACCTGTGTCCAAAGATCACTTCTGCCATTTCCTATGTGGCCTTTGGGCAAGTATAAATTTTCAGCTTCACTGATCTTCAGTTTCTTCAGCTGTTAAATGGGAATAATTTTGGTGAAGGCTGCATTATG